ACTTCTCTTTTGCCATATCTCGCACGTCTACTTGTTGACAAGGATAATATTAACGCAGAATTACGTAATTGCTTGCTTCATTTACGAAGACAATATCTACTAATTTCAGCTGCATTTTGTAAATTTACATTCACACACATCGGGTAAAGTGCTGTAAACTCGCCTATCCAAGTGCATAAATCTATCACTGATTTGACTTGGATTGAAGATGACCGCACTTACGTGGATTTTATGCCAGCAGAATGCAATATACTTGTAAGCTACTGAGAGTTATCCAAATTGTTTAGGGTATTGGCGTTCGAGAAGACAGAACATCTCGTCAACCATGTCGCCTATTAATTTTGTCCTTTAACACTTGTTTTTGCTATTTTCCATTTTGGATTTAGGAGAAGCTTCGGTGATTAAAACCCCCATTTGTTCTGTTTGGCACCCAGTCTAGAATCAGACACGTGAAATACAACAAAATAAATAAATAAATTTTTATTATAACAATTATCAAACAATTATAATTTTTGGTACCTTCTAAGCTACTTTTTCTAAAATTGCCTATGACGAAACAGGTCGGCATTAATCGGGAGGTTTTCGTAGGACAAACTGTCGTCGTTCCTAGGTGGACACATTTTTATTGGTGATAATGTTTTTCGTTTTTCCGGCTGAACTTTATTTAGTTTTTGTTTTCTTGACCCCACTTTTATTGTAGTTTGTTGAAGGACATCTTATTGGTCTCACTGGTCCTCAACGGGCTTGCAATTACTGCGCGTTTACACTGCGAACTCAGATGGAATCAGGCAAACTGTCTAAAGTCTCAGATCGCCTGGTTACGCATCCCCTCAATCAGGAGGAAGGGAATCCACTGAATACGAGTTCCAAATCCCTCGAAATGGTTTCTGAAAATGGCTCATTACAGCGTATGGAGAATGCGAATAGGGGATCCTCGGATCTATGGAGTCGTATTAGTCAAACGGCCACAATCTCAAGCGTTTCTGGAGCGAAGCAGCTACTATCCACCGTCAGTTTAGGACGTCCAACAAAGGCAGCAGTTGACGAGAGTAGATCAGTTCTTTCTGGCCCAAGTGAACCTTCATCGGATGTGTTTCCGGGTTTCACCATTACAAATTCACCGGTTCTGCACCGTAAGCGCTTTACTCCGCCAGCTCGTCCTTCTGGTCTACGATCCTCTTGGGGGCTGAACACTCCCCAGCTAAACTCGAATTTTTCTGGGAAGCAGTGTTTAACCTTCCAGCCGGGTTTTCAGAGGTCGGATGCTGACATAGAGCCCCCAGACACTTCTCCGGTGTGCACAGTGGACAAGCGTTGCACTACTGCTGGACATTCTTGCGCTGATTTGGATGACAAACAGATTATTGCCCTATGGGAACGCACCGTTGAGCGTTGCCTGAATTCCGTGATCGAAAATGATGTGCTAGTTGAGGCTCAGGATCGAATGGGTTGTGGTTCAGTGGCATTGTCAAATATTCACCCAAATCCGAAGGAACTTCAGTTGGTTGTTGTCACACATAATGGTCGAAAAATATGCTGTGCTTCTGGTTTAAGTTTAGTCTACTGGCTTGTGTATAATGTTGAGGAAATGGATCATTGTAGGTGAGTTTATTGTTTTTTCAGTGCTATTCTTTTCGCATTGTTATTCATGCGTCATATCTGATATAATGCTATAGTTATTTTTCGATCTCCATTTATTTTAAATACAATAATTGCTTGTATGGTGAATTTCCTCGTGCACCGAGCAAAGGAAGAGTGAACTGAGGAGCTCGGGAGCTCTGGGTAGCTGTTTCGATCTTTTCGATCTCATCAGCAGTGCAAGTCCATCAACCTAACCGGGGGTCGAACCCAGGATCCCACAGAAAACACAAGCATACGACTCACCCAGCAACCCGGCAACTGATCAGACTGTTTTTCATTTTTTGTATTTATAGGGCCAAACAGCTCTCAAGTGTTTCCCAGCTTTTTAGTTCACTCTTCCTTTGCTCCGTACAAGACGAAATTCACCGTATCATCGAAAGAAGTCCTCCTTTATTGTCGTATACAACAGTTGTGCAAGGTGACCAATTTAAGGCCGTCAAATAACGAATGGGAAATGAAGCTACAGGTGATGGGGTTCGAACCTACACACTGCTATAAGATCCGCGTACGCCCTGCAGCGGTCAATTACTGCCCCCCATAATTCATAATTGCTACAGCGTTTTTGTAATGTTCTAGGCTTGTTGGTAAATAATGATAGTTTATCCTTGGTTGCCACTACTTCAAATGTTAGCCAAGGTTATGGAAAAGGCCAGGCAGTGTGTGATCGGTGTCTTATCATGTAGAAAACAACACTCGCTAGATGTCGATAGATTTTCTCCGCTTTTTACTTTAATATTTGCCACCACCACCGTTTTCGTTATTAGATGCGTAAATAGCAGAGGAACATACAGGGAAACCTGAACCGATTGATTGCATCAAGTAGAACATTTCTGGATTTCTGGTAAAGATCCGCCCAATTTTCCGAACTTAGGGGTACATGAAAAACAATAAATCTCTTCACTCACATCATCCGTTTCACTTTGATGTATCTCTCTGTTAATAAAGCTGTGGTAGAAAAAATCAGAACCTTCGGGAAGACTTGCATTTCCCTAATACAAGTTTCGAATTAGGGAAGAATATTGTCGATGAAATTGAGCATCGTGCTAACAGTATTAGATCTGTACGGAAATTTTGGTTCAGCCGTGAAAAGAGAATAAAATATCATCTCTTTTGGTCACGATGTTCGAGGACCATTTGCTTTCTCAGGAGGGCTTTGTGTTTCAATGAAGCTTTCTTCCTACGGGCAGTTTTTATCAGAGAGTGATATCAAGAATTATCGGCACCTCTCTCTTCATGCAAATCGTAACCTGATTTGATATAAAAGTATTCTATAATACCTAAATTGTTAGAATAAAAAATAATGAAATGATAAAAGAACACCTCGAACGTATGAAATTAAGTCAACTGATCCCATGCATGACCACTTTTGATTCTATGGTCGACCATAATTAGCTGTCCTCTATTTCTATCCGACTTGTTATCAGATGGAGGGCGCATTCCGTCTGTCAAAGATTTGTGGACCTGTCTTTACTACTTGACCTGAATCAACCAAAGGGGAAGATATTCCGTGACGACTTCACTCCGTACGAACTAAGACCGGTAAGTGAATGCCAAAACGGCCTGATTTTTTGCAGATTATCTTTCTCTGCTACTCTTCGCGGTTTATCTATTTCATTTTGGTTGATGGATTGAAGTGCATTCTCTGCTTTAGTGGAACCCCGGTCACTTTTTCCAATTCATTTATTCACTTGTCTGCAGGTGCGATCCCCTGTTACATTATCGCCTAGCAATTTGGAACGTAGAGTTTCTTGGCCTGCCACTTCATTGCCGGGTACATCGCATGCTCCGACCGCGAACAACTCAGATGAGCCAGATTGGTTACGCGAGATCGAGGATTTCTCCTCCCGGGTTTCGAACGAACCGTCCACTAATTCTCAGCGCAGCCCCACAGCAAGTGACGATGAGGTTGTCACTGGACGTAGTTCAACTA